ATCATGACCGAATAATCCCCCAAATCATGACCGAATAATCCCCCAAATCATGATGTCTAAAGTTCAAGGCTGAGGGTTAGAAGGTTATTCAAATAGAAGACTGCTGGTTTAAATCCTGTTCGTGAAATGAATTTAAATTAAATTAAATTCTTTGTCAGCAATAGAGCAGACATGCTGAACAATATTTTTTATTTTATATATTGTTTGATAAATGTATTTATTCATTTAACAGACCAATGAATTACAATGAACATTAAGGACACATTTAAATTTATTTATTTTTCTACATAAAAATTCTAATAATACAAAAAAAGATTATTAAAAAGAAAAAAGGAAACATTTAAAAAATATAATAATAATAATAATAATGATAAATAATCAACCCATCCTTTTTATCATAGTGGATTTTGGTCAATGATAACACAAATTAACAGGCAAAACGCCTGCACTGTAAATTATTTTAAAATGTATTATAATAGCTTCAGATGCTGAACAAATTCATTGTGGTTTTCTCTTTGGAATAATTAAATCTTATGATGGATAAAGCTAAAAATATAACTCTAAACTAAACACTAAAAGTGTATTTTTTCTCTCGTCATGAATGATAATAACCAACACGTGTCGTCTTCAGGTTAAATACCGCATGGAGGGAAATAAGACTCGGACAACAAGCTTGTATGACGGTAAGGCCAGAGAGGTCGCCCACGTCAAGTGCGTCTCCGAACTGATCAGCAAGGTGAGCTACCTGAACGTAGACTCGGAGGAGTAAAATCATCTCGATGTTAAACACTGATGCTCGTCTCTCTTGCAGGTTCTGTACAGACAGAAGTGGGATGAGACGAAGGACCGGTACCTGCTGCCTCCGGATGCTCCTGAGCTGGTTCTGGCTGTGAAGAACGCTGCCAACTACAGCAAAGTAAGGACAATGTTCTGACAGAAATAACATCTGATGCTTTTTCAATACAAAGAAATGCATTGACCTTGTTTACACCTTGTTCAGAAACTTTACACGGAGCTCTGGGATGAAGAGAAGACCATGTTCTACCCGTACAGCGACAGCCCCGAGCTGCGCAGGGTGGCCAAAGCTCAGGAGGCCCTCAGTGATGTGAGTTTACTGACTACAACCAGCCTTCTGATGAATACAGAATAGAAGAAAAATACTATAAAATTATGACAAAATACTATAACATGTATACAGTATATCTGACTTAAAAATGGAAGAGCTGTGCAGTTTTTACAAGTGGTAGTTTTGTTCCAGAAATTGTACAAATAATGTACAAAAACACATAATATTTGTGAAAAAGCTTTTAATGATTTTAGGGTTTGGCGATGTGATAATATACGTTTGCTAAACCGTTTATTCTACGGCAGCTCTCTCCTTAATATAACCGGCTTTTATCATCCTCGGTGAGAAGGAGTGTCTTAAAGTAGACGTTCACATCTGGTTTATAGTTTTTACATTGAAACAATGTAGAATATCTAAGTAGCTGTGACTTAAACTTACCTCAGCATCAACAAGCACATTTTCTCCATCTTTAATGTTTTCTTCCTTTTGTTTGTGCTTACTCAGATTTATCACATGTAGTTATTTCCACTCACATTGCAGGAAATTAAAACGGTCGTTAGCGTGTAACCTGTTCTGCTGATGTAAGGAAGTCACCAGTCGATACGATCTGTGTGCTAAGCTCAGCTATTGATGTTGAAGAAGTAACCACCTCAGTCAATTCAAACTTCTAATGTGTGTGCGCGTGTGTGTGTGTGTGTGTGTGTGTGCAGGTTCGCTACAAGAAGGGTCACGATCAGCGTAAGGCGAAGTACACCTCGCTGGCTGATCCTCCTGAAGTGGAGCTGGCCAGGAGAGTGAACAATCAGCTCAGTGATGTAAGCGTTTAATGTGGCTCTCAAACATGCTGTGTATGTGAAGGAAACACAGGACGGAAGGTAGACGAAGTGAGACATTTATTTCTATTAATGATAAGTGCAGAGGAGAGTAATAAACCTCAAGGAAATTTAATTTGAGAGGCTCAAACTTGCACTTTCCTTCTGTCTCTGACTGATTCTGCATTTAAATTATGGCGAAGACAAGTTCTATAATCCATCAGACTTTAGTCTCCTTTAAACACCATCTACAGAAATGTGAATATAACTAGCTTTATTACGCCATTATTATTATTATTATTAATTTGTTTTTTTTGTTTTCCACAGCTCAAATACAAGGAAGATTACAATAAGAACGTGAAGGGTCAGTGGTGCGAGACGCCGTACTTCGACGTGGCGACAGCCAGGGTGGCAATGGAAAACTTCAGCAGCGTAAGAGCCGACTTCCACCTGCAGGTTTTCTGAACGCTATAACTTTTACAGCATCTAACTGTCCTGATCCTTTTCTCCCTGCAGAAAAGATACACGCAAGACTACGAGGACAACAAAGACCAAATCTATTTCATGCAAACGGACACGCCCGTTTATGACGCCAACAAGAAGGCTCGCATCGCTGCCAGCGGGGTGAGTCCACACAGAGGACATCAGAGTGTTATTATAGGTCCTAGAGCTCCAGATAGAGCCGAGTGTCTCAGAGAGTGAGTCCACACAGAGGACATCAGAGTGTTATTATAGGTCCTAGAGCTAGAGCCGAGTGTCTCAGAGCAGAGAGTGAGTCAACACACTGATGCAGGGACGCGCTGTAACACAAGACCTACATTTAAATTCAATGCCACTGCAACAAAGTACAACATATCACACTTCAACCCACACATTCATGCAAACATGCGTCATTTTAACAAAGAATATAAGGACGCATGCAGTGGGGTTTTTCCACCGACGTCACGTTATACGAGTCAGCGTGAATCAGCCTGATCTAAACTCTTTGTGTCTTTTGTTCTCTGTGTTTTCAGGTCCAATACAAGAAGGAGTACGAGAAGGGCAAAGCGGAGGCCGACTACAACACGCTCCCGGCCACAGAGAATCCTCTCCTCAGACAGCTCAGATATGCCGGCACCATCCTCAGCGATGTGGGTGTCTGAAGAGAAACTACAGCTGCTCTTATAGAGCAGTGGTGGATTATGTTTAGGGTGGAAACAAATGATTAAATCTTAGTATACAGTATTACTATAACTATTTAATGGGGGCTCTTTACAGTAAGAATATCCTAACTGCTTAATCTTAACTTAACTTTAATCTTAACTTAAATTTGAAACATAGGAAAAATCCAACCTTCCTCATGCTAATTCCTCCACTCATGGCCGTGTTCCTATCTTGTCTTATCTTAACTTAATTTAAGAAATACTTCTTACAGCTGTAAATTCTCTTCTCCCGATGGACGAGCAATAACTTCAACAGCTCTCACTCGTCACTGGCAAATAATAAAAGACGGCCGTTCAATTTTCATTTTTAGCTAGGAGGAGACGGGGAAATCCCTGAGTTAGTTCGATTCTGTTGGTGGTAAAGATGTCTGTAGGAGGCATTGTGTGTTTGGCTCAAACATCCACCGGGACTCATCAGACGTTGGTGGTGAAAAGTCTCCAAAAACACGTTTTTGAGCCATAACTCAGGAATTGATTTGCTTATTATGACGATTTCATACAAATGTCTAAGAGAATAACATAATGAAGTGGATATGCAGTATTTCAGACAGACATGGATGTAAACTGACACTTTACTGGTTTGGTGGAGGCAAACAACCAAAAACTAAATCTAAACTAAGTTAAGTTAAGATTTCAGTCCCCTGGTCTCCACGTCTGCTTGTAGACATGAGACATGAATTTACTCTCGTTAGACTAGAGAACGAGGTGACTGCTGAATGATTGAGGTGGCTGTGGGTCTGACATGAAGCTTCTCTGAGTGGATTGTCATATCAATGCAGCTAATTAAACCATCTGGAAAGTCAATTGCATGCAGAGAAACTCATCGAAATGATGATTTAATTGAATGAAGTCACCAGTCTGACATGTGTGCAGCCCATGATGCGTTTAGCCGTGTGTGTGTGTGTTCTCTTATTTGAGTTACTGATCATAACTCATATGTGATTTTTATGTGATGTTTTCTGTCTTCTTCTACAGAAAGTTTATAAGGCCAGCTATGAGAAAGCCAAAGGTTCCAGCATCAACTACTGCGACACGCCCAAGTTTCAGATGGACTCCGTCCTTAAGAAGTTCACTGATGTACGAAGAACCTCCGAGCTGAAAGAAGACCTGTGATATTATCCTTCTGATTTTATCTTTTAAATACTCACATTTTGATTTATTTCTTTTTTAGATACGTTATAAAGATAAGTATGAAAACGAGGTGAAGGGCCACTACGTCGGCAGCTATGAAGACGTCTTCATGGTTCACTGCCAGAAAGTTGAGGAAATGAAGAATGAGGTAAATAATTATTCTTTCATTTTTATAGAAATCTAAATCCCCGGTGCAAGAGTTTTATCTTCATTATGTTCTCCTCTTTCATCTCGCAGCAACTCTATAAAGCTGACTATGAAGACATGAAGACGAGATGCTTCTTCCCTCAAACGCTGACGCCTGAGTATGAAGCCGGGAAGAAGCTGCTCCAGTGTAGCGATGTGAGGAGCATCGGCGAATGAAAATACGTCTCTGCAGTAAAGTCTGATTCTCCCGTTTCTGAATGTTCCTCTTTTTAAATGCTTTTGCAGACAACCTACCGGCAGCATCCAGACAAAGTGAAGTTTACACAAGTGGCGGATTCTCCAGTTCAGCTTCAAGCCGCCATCAACGCCAAACAGCTCAGTGACGTACGTACGACCGCACCGAGCGCCTCCTCTGTCACAGTTAACACGAGTACATCTCATGAACTCAACATGTTGTGTTCACATGCATCATATAATAATAAACATTTCAGTTATTATCCCACTTTTCAAGCTTCAGCACAAAGTGCTTTTAAGGTTAAAATATTTACAGAATAACAGTTTAAAAATCAGAAATGTGAATTGTGTGAATATTACCTGGAGAGAAACTGTCATACTGTGTTTCTCCAGGTAATACTGCCACAGACAATTCATAATACTGCAAATATATTCATATTTAAATACTCCAAGATTGCCACTTTAAGTAAAGGAAATTTATGATGATCTCATAAAGAACTAAATATAATACCAATAAAACAACAAATGACTGAATGAATGAATGAATTTAAAACAGATAAAAGTGCAAAATATATGTAAGTCCATATAGAAATAAGATAAGCACAATTTAAACATGTAAAATGTTTCTGTTATTGTTTCAATATATTACATTATGTGTTATTGCCTTTATGCCCCTGTGTGTGTCTTTAACTCGGTACAGCTGTACTGAGGCAGACTAACCCATCTGCAAACTTGTTTTAAATGTGTTATATCAATAAACAGACTTGATAAAACACCACGAAATAGTAAAATAAAGAGGAAATAAGACGTGAAGGGAAATACGAAAAATAAAACAGTGTTCTGTGTTAAGTCTGCTGAACTCACACTGAAGGAAAACGATTAAAAGTTCTTCAATATAGTAAGATATAGCAGCTAATAACATTTAGTAACCTTATAAATGTATTGTAAACGTAGTGACCAACCAGAGCTGAATCTGGAGCGGTAAGAGAGGATCTGCTGGATAGATTGTTGTTCATTCATTGACAAAGATTGGCTCAATCTTGAGCGAATGTTCTCGATCACATTCTCCCAGATATGCAGATCATCTTAAAGTCAATCATCCACAAACTGAAGCCCAGCTGTCTCTCTGTGGGCGCCATGGAAACTGGAGAGCCATCTCTCTGTCGTATAAATAGAAACGAGCGTTCAGTCGCCCAGAATAGACCCTGTGATCAGGGGGGGGGGGGGTTCAGATAGAGTCCAGCTAACACACTGCTGCCCTCCAGTGACACAACGTCAGATAACACGTCAACACAACTTCAGTCTGGGGATTAATGTACAACGAGCAGCAGCCAACACGAATATCACAATGAAACAAAGACAATTATTAGTTTATAGTCTCTGCATTATTAAATATGTGCTTATTTACATTTCAGAAATCTGAACATTGGTTAAATCCAGGTTCAAAATTCTTGTTTCATAGTTGTAAAAAATCTATTTCCTCCATGTTTATATTAATAAATGTGTATAAATGAGTGTGTGAGTGATGAGTGAACTAACCCCTCTGTGTGAACCTTCAGCACACAGAGAGGAATGAACGAGTGAAGTTTGGTGAATGTAAGAGCTGCTGAAGTGGAGATTTATCATCAGAGTCTGAGAACAAACTCATTTAGAGGAAACGTCCTTTAAAGAGACGTTTAGTTCCATTACAGACATTTAGAGACTCTACAGGTGAACACATGAACTCATGATATCACCATCAAACTTCACCACTTCATTACTGATATTAAGAAGACTCTACAGGTGAACACATGAACTCATAGATATCACCATGAAACTTCACCACTTCATTACTGATATTAAGAAGACTCTACAGGTGAACACATGAACTCATAGATATCACCATGAAACTTCACCACTTCATCACTCACATTAAGAAGACTCTACAGGTGAATAGAGTCACAACATGAACTCATAGATATCACCATGAGACTTCACCACTTCATCACTCACACTAAGAAGACTCTACAGGTGAACACATGAACTCATAGATATCACCATGAAACTTCACCACTTCATCACTCACATTAAGACTACAGGTGAATAGAGTCACAACATGAACTCATAGATATCACCATGA